ACCCATGCATGTGGTTCTGGTACATCTACCCACAGTGCCGTTTAAGGCCGCTCTTTTCTACAGGCTCGCTAAGGGAGGTTGTTACAGACATCGTAGTGATTACTGTGATACGGCACCCACACAGACCACTACCCCAGGTCCAAGTGGCAAGAGCGCCAGCACCGTTCCCCGTAGAGTCACACCGATGATAGTCCAAAAAGACCAAAACGGTGACCAGATACGCAACCAACTGCATTTGTCCCTAACCCTGAAATCACTTTAACGGCTATCCCCACTGTACACCGGGAAAAACAGGTGACAATGGAAAAGATGCACCCTTCCCATAAAAACCACCCACAGTTCACGAAAACAGATATAGTGGCAGATCGAACCCCATTATCCTATCTAGCGTCCCAGTGTATCATAATAGCCTTCTTTAGAACAGAGACTCTTTTGACAAACAGCAGTGGGAAACCCGTATGCGCCAAAGTAGGACAGCGTAGCCAAGAAGCAAAGCTGTGCAGGCTCTATAAAGGCAACTACTCACCTCACGGAAAGCCTCCGCCGATGAGAGTGACCCTGAGCTCGGCTAATGAAGCGGAAAGATTCTTGCTGATGTCACACACACTAGTGAATAACAGGTCATCCAGCACTAGAGCCAGACCAGACCGTCCTTGGTCAGCGAACAAAGTATCTCGCGAGGCACCCGAAAGGCGGAGACCAACAACTATGGTTGTTCGAGGCATACTGGAACTAACAACCGGCACAATGTTAAAAAGCATGCTCACGACGTCCAGCAATGACAGTGGTTATCAGCGAGGATAATTTAAATGGGATAGCGGCGGCGACGATCTGCAGACTGCCACGTCCATCACATTTGATGACGATGGCGTCACCCTGGTCGATGGTTGTTAAATTCGGCTGTCAAGAACTTTTAACCGAAGTACTGCAAACTTGGTACTCGGTAAAAGATAACATCAGCGAGAACGTTCGCTGCTGTGAAAGCGGGCCCGGGACACTGCGACAGCAGTAAATGACAGCTCCTCTCAGTGCTGAAGTCACCACCAGTGTCAACAGATAAGATGTACGAACAAGCCCAGACTCTATGAAATCCCCTGAAACCATTGTGGGAAAAAACGTGATTGGGCCAGTTCCACCGGACCTGGGCATCCAATGGCAAGTTTCGCCATTACGCACAACCCCCTCCAGTCTGCCGCAACCAAAACACCCCACGTCTTTAGAGACATATCCAAGTGTCTTTACAGTAACGTGTGGAGACTTAGAAGTAAGATGGGGAATTACGATTTCTCTGTTCCTACCTTGCTCCAACGGTCATAATCCTGACAGAAACTTGGTTATCACCGGACATTAGTGACATCGAAACCAGTACAGACGGTATGTGTCTATTCAGGAGAGACAGGGAGTTTAAGGAAGGAGGCAGAGTGGAGATGCTTATAAGTGATGACCTTAAAAGTGAACGAGCAACTGAGGCTCCAATTTCAGGGCTCCCAGACTCCATCTGGTGTCACTTTAAGGTTGGACACACCAGATACCTGGTGGGACGCGTCTACAGAACTCCTACCAGCAACGCGGAGCATAACCGACAACTGCTGCAAGTGATTTCCGGAGCGACATCCATCAGATGTGACCAGGTCATTATGACCGGCGACTTTAATGCTACGACTCTCAATCCTGGGCAGGACAGGGGAACCTCAAGCCGAAGGTTCTACCGAAACCTACTCAGCACTGTCAAAAAGGCTGAACTGCACGAGAATATTGATGACACTCGCTGGAAGTCAGGCGGAAAGCCATCCAAATTGGACTACCTTTTTACCAGTGACACACTGATAGTAGAAAATGTACAGGTTCATATCCCCCTCCACAGCAGCAATCACGGCGTCGTTGCGTTTGGTCTGGTATTCAGCGTACAACTTTCATGGGAGGGATCTCTCCCTCGTCTTTGCTACAACAAGGCAAACTACGTGGCGATGAACCAATACCTGTTGACAGCACCATGCCGTAAGAGTGGAACAACCTGTCGATTGATTAACATTGGAAACTAGTAAGAGATATCATCAAGTGCGCTGTCTCTGAAAGCATCCCTGTAATCACAGCAATACCACGGAAGCAAACCTCATGGCTAAAGTGAGGCACTGAACGCCTTTTCAAAGCCAAGAGGAAAGCGTGGCATAAGTTGGGGGCCTCCAGAAAAGAGTCTGACCACCCCACGTATATAGCACTAAGAGATCGATGTAACATCAGAGAAAGGGGAGGCAGGAGGTCGTTCCAGACAAACCTTGCCCAGAAGCTCGAGGTGAACCCACAAAACGTTTATGGACTTATGGCAGGCAGAAAATTCACCGGCTAGGGGGCTTGCGTCCTGAAGAGCCTAGATGGAGAGGACCTCTCCGGACTAGAGGTCGCCGAAGCCTTCAGCGCCACCTTCGATACGCAACTGAACATGTCTCAGTCGAACCAAAATTACCAACTGTCCGACCAACATTCGGCACCATCAAATGCAGTAGAGTTACCTGGAATAAAGGCAACTCTTGCTGTGGTTCTTGTAAAGCTATCGAAGCTCCGCGCGGAGCAGTCGCCAGGATGCGATGATATCCGACCGGCTACGTTGAAACAATGCCCGGGTGCCTTGTGAAGTCCACTGTGTAATCTGTTTCAACTCTCCTAAGACAATCACATGCTTCCACGGGAGTGGAAACGTGCAGTTCTGTCCCCCATCTTCAAGGGTGGAGACGGCAGAACTAAAATGCCACCGACTTACAGCCTTTCTAGCAGTGGTGTCAAAAGTAATGGAGAGTCTGGTAGACGACCATATCAGGGAGTACTTAGAAAAGAGAGGAGCAATTAGTGATGCTCAATATGGTTTCAGAAAGGGTGGGTCCTGTGCCACAAACATTCTGGCTGCAGGTGACAAGTGGACGCCATGCAAGGGCCTCCGAATTCCTGTCCATGTTTTTTCCTGGATTTTGCAAAGGCTTTCGACACAATTCCACACACCGTTCTCATTCATGAAATGGCAAGGTTGGGCATCAAGGGACAAGTGCTTTCATGGTTCCAAGACCATCTAGACGGTAGACAGTTCTGCACAAAAGCCAGCAGAGTTTGCTCGACTTGGAGGACATCATCATCTGGTGTATCACAAGGAGCGATTCTGGATCTGCTGCTATTCCTTCTAGTTGTGAACTACCTCCCACTGAATCTCAGCTACCCAATTCTACTCTACGCTGATGATGTTAAGTTACGGAGGGCTGTGACGTCAGAAACAGAATCAAGTGCACTGCAAAGTGACCTCGGGTTGCTGGCAGAGTGGGTGGATATTAATGGACTTGCATTTAACCTAGATAAGTGCCAAGCCATGTTCCTCCACACCCCGGACTCCCAAAAGATACCCTATTCTCTTTGTGGAACACAACTCTCCCACACCACCAAAGAGAAGGACCTAGGACCAATTCTAACTGAAAAACTAGACACTAGCTCCAATCTTACAGGAGATGCCTCCAGAGCCTACTCAGTACTGCACTTCATGGGCAGACAACCGGGTACCCTGACTCCAGAACTCTTTTTGAAGCTGTATAAGACCTATGTACGACCCCACCCAGAGGTCCACAACGTCATTGCACCACAATATCTGAAAAGAGACGTGAACCTCCTGGAGAAAGTCCAAAGGTGAGCTACAGAGGGTGTCGTGGGAATCAGGCGAAAATCATATCATGACAGGCTGAAAGATCTGAGGCTCTACTCCCTAAGCTACCGTGGATTACGTGGTGACTTGATAACGCCCTACAAAATACTGAGTAACCCAAGTCATCCGAACAGTGGAATCCTACTGAACGGCCACTGTGGCGATCCTCGTGGTAACCCAAGGAGAATCGCCTACCAAAGAGCGAAAGCCCTTGCGTGATCACACTTCTCTCTGCGAGTTTGCTGCCACTGGGGAGCTTCGTCTGTTGACAGCTTCAGGAAGAGGTTGAAGTGTTGCGCAGCGACGCACGGTTTTGGCTCATCCAACTGGGATGTGAACTGGGCTGACACGACCTATTAACTCGGTGCGACCAACCATCACTGAATACTTTGTAACACCACTATCACTGGGAACCTAGCTCAACCTCATACCTCCCTACAGACGTCCCCTCCAGTTACCGTCTCCTGCTAAAAGAATTACCACATTCCCATTCGTCCTATAATGTTATTTATTCCTCTTTCTTGTAACTTTACGCTCTCAAACTTTAACAAAAGTTCTCCATATCACTCCTTTCTCGTAAATCTACCAATGTTTCTTCTTCCGTGCCGTTTCCTTTTTCCTAATCGTCTTTTCCTTTCTTTTTTCTATTCTTTTTCTGCTTGTTTTTCTTTGAACTTTCTCTCCCTAATTTTCTGCAGATATTTTTTATTCCCTTTTACAACCACTGCTACCAGTTATCTGCTGGCTCGACACTTAGGGAACCCATCTGCACCACAGTCCTTGGAAGAAAATAAACAAACAAACAAACAACACTTCCTACAAATTCAACCAACGCCCAGCCGCCCGTCGGGCTAGTCAGAGCTACAGCAGCCGAGTGGGTAGACCTACTGCACTGGAATCCACCGATGACCTGGAACCGTTCCACAAGACCTAGAAGCTAGCGCGAAGAAATCAATTGGTTCACACTAGCTCGTAAAAAGATATTGGGTATTGGGTTGGACATCTTGAAGTATGACACATTCGTAACCTTACTCATCCACCCTCTGATTTCGACTCCTAGAATGACTCACCTCTTTGATTTCAAGCTCTGTCGTTTGTCAGTCGTCTTACATTATTATAAGCATATTCTGTGTACTTGCTGAGTAGTCAGTTAGGGTTTTGTTCTTCCTCCTTTTTACAGATTCTCATGGTCACTGATAAACTGACACTCCGCCACGAACGACTCTGTAACAAAGTACCGTCCTAGAGGCTAGACGAAAACCTGTCAACAGCTGGTCGTTACGAAGTTTCATAATTTACGTTGTAGTGAAGTGTTTCGATTAGCGGCAAGTTTGGATAGAGCGTTACTGAGGCTTGTTGGACGGAAGCGACAAAAAGGTCTGGTTAGGACAGATTTCCTCATTTTTATCTGCACTTTTTAGTGTTATTAACCTTAAAGGGTTATAGCAGGGCTAACATTAGAAGCACCACAGATTGAAACTGACTGAAAAAAATGTGATAGCAATATTTAAAGCTATTTGAATTTGAACATCATTGTGAAATGTTATGAATAGATGAAGAAGCTTCATAATTCATTCACAGAGTCTTTATGGGGAAATTCCTGGCTGAACGCATCTGCCAGGACAAAGTAAAAGAATCGAAACCCGAGATAAAAAAGAATTGTCGGATGGTCGTGGACAGTTACTCAGTACCGGCGTGCGGTAATCAGTAACATTAATAAAGTTAAAAAGATGTATTTCTCAGGCTGATAAGATGAAATGACAAGTAATAAAACTTAAGAAGTGAACAAAATACCTTCTTAGAATAGTTTTCATGAGCATGTTGCAGAAGTTCCTAACTTTCGATGGATGTACCTGACATCAACATTGTTGATGTCAAGTTGAGCCACTCGCAATACAGATTTTTTCGACGTTATCTTCCTAGCTACTGTATTATGTTGTCATAATGGCGATTGAAATCTCTAATGTACTTCTCATCTTTTCAGCAGCTTGGTCTACAAATTGAGTGATTCTATGTTATCCATGATATTGTAGTATTATAAATTTAACCCCACGAATGTGAGAGCACAAGAACGTCACTTATTGCGTTGGATGTGATTTTTAGACTTCGTTGATCCTTATTAGTCGGTCAAAGTTTCTTAGATAATCGTCTTGAGGTTACCGTTCTCTGCCTTTACCTGTTGTCCTTTAAATTCTGTGTGGTTTCCAAGACTTCTCTTAAGATTCCTGTGGATTATGTGTTATTTATTGCAGAGTTTTTTTTAAAGATTTGCTGAGGAAATCTAGCTGGTGTGAGACCGATCCTGTAGTATAGACAATTGTCTAAAACTACGTGATCTCTGGTGTATTTTGTTAAATTTCAGCATTTTAAAAACCCCCCGAGTTTTGGTAATCACTTGGGGTATGCTTTTGAACTTGCCATTCGATGGAGGAATATTTAGTTTTTTGAAGTTAAGTAACCGAGATGTTATGTAATGGATACAAGGAAATTAGGTTAGAGGAGGAAAAATATCTGTAAGGGGGTGCACAAATAAATGATCAACACAGGTATTTTAGTAATGTGTTGTACGTTCAAATTATAGTGTAACGTGTCGGAATAAACTTCAATAGTGGTTATTTTAAACCTCACATCCACTTTTCCATCCAAATAACTCATCATGTTGGAGATGGAAAGTAACATGTTAAAAGTAGACTAATGACATCAAGATTAGTATTGTGATCGCAAAACTCTCAAGTCTCTGGATTGTTCTGTTATACTTGCAGTTGGATTGTTGGGGAATTTTTCGTGCTTCTCGGTGTTATAAGGAATTCGGTGGACCTTAGGAGCTGGAGTTGTGGAGCTGTTCACTACAGTTTTCTGGTCTCTCACCGAGAGTTGTTATCTTGTTTTTAAAAAACAATAAATGCTAATGACATGACAAGTGCTAAATTTTTATATTTTAGCTTCTTGTGGTGTTGATTTCATGTAAGTTATTTTAAAATAGATAGGTTTAGGTAATATACGAGCTGCTCAGCAGCAGCTCATTTAATGATTCTTCGCATATGAAACTAAATGATAAAATAGTTGGGAACCAACTTATACATCAGGTAGCAAATAAACTTCATCATATGTTCGGTTGCTCTCATTTATGTTCATACTGAATGTTTAATTAAGCAGATATGCACGTATCATATTTCACGAGATCTAATTTGTTACGATTTCTTTTTATAGAAGTATAAAAATTGACATTCAGCTGAGTAAAGATTCTGGCAATGAACACGAATTACCCTCCTTCTCGTCTTCAAGTATCTAGTTTATCGTGTAAAAATAAGTGTGGATTCTATGGAAATCCCTCCTGGGATGGTTACTGTTCCGTTTGTTACCGTAACGCCCATCAAAGACAAACTGCTGTCCGTCAGACTTCTTCTAGTGCGACGACGTTTTCTCAAATCTCAGATACAGATGTTAAACGCAAACAAAGCACTGGGAAAAACTCGACTATCAAAAACATATTCAAGGTTCCTCGAGGTGAGCAAAACGCTTTCTTTTAAATGTTTCAGATGATAATCGAGATCAAAACTCAACGAACCCAGAAGAGTGTTTGCTAGCTGAGAAAGAGTTTAAGACTTTTCTAAATACTCTTCGAGCTTCTGTAAACGCAGATATTTCTCGTCATGTAAAGTTCAAATTAAAATTAAAATGATAATAATTTCCCCAAGGTTTCAAAGCTTTTGGAACAATTGGAGCCTATTCGGGGCTCAAATATTAATCAAGCGTCATTGATCGTACAAGACTTCTACATCAATATTTCAAACCGTATTTCTAACAATCCTATGTATTCAGTAAGTTATCATCTAAATTGTTTCAAACTAAGGACTTTTTACCACTCGAAAAGATTACGAAGTCAATATTTTTCGACAGTGTAGCGAATCCTATTCACCAACCCACGAGTTTCACTGTTACAAATATTTTAGCAGTTTGTTAAGTGGATTATTGCTAGAGGGTTTCAGTTTGTGCAGTCAAGTATGTACCACTGTAACTATAAATTATTTGGTCTCCAGAGGTAAAAGACAGGATATCTAAAAACTACACAGAGAGATTTGACCTTCGGATTTCAACGAAAATCTAGAGCATGACTGTGTACTTTTTTGAAATGCTTCCGACGAAGCTATAGTACTAAGTTTACGTATGGTTTAGATAACACAACTCAGGATCCAGTTTTCGAGTGCGTAGAAAGGAAGGGTAATCAGGATAATGAAGAAGACCGACTTAGATCACATGGAACCTTTGACTTACAGCATATGTAGTTCTTTCAGTATCTAACTTATGCTTATAATTGAACGGTAGTTAGGTAATTGTTTTGAATGTACTGATTAATAACTCATTTCAATCTATTACTCGTGTGGTTTTGAAGTGGTGGAGGATATTTGTAGCACAGAATAATGATCTTGGTTGTGTTGCGTTCTCTGGGCTGGGTTTTAGTACTGATGTCTGTAAAGAAAATGAAGGCTTCGCGACTAAACTATCCAGCTCGGAGAACGCAACACAACCAAGATCACTGTTGTTTGTTTTGTTGAAATAGAGGGTAGTAATGTCTTTCATTGAAAAATAAATATTTTAGATTGGTTATAAGTCAGTTTCAAACAGATAATCAGATAAAATATATTGAGATATAAGCTGTCTGAAACTAATAAAATTGCCTCAGTGAAATCTTGACGCTCAGTTTAACATTTAGTTCGTTTTGGGAATAAACCAACAGGCTGATATCTTTTTGCTTGCTAGTGGAATGTGTCTAGCAGGCAAGCATTAGATTTATTCAGCGATAATTTTCATCACAGCACAAACTGTGGAAATATTCGTTCTCTGTATAGTCCTAACATTTACACTGTTTTAACCGTTTAGTGTGCTTCTCACGTAAACGTCCTATTTTAAGGGGATACAATAACTTCATAAGATGATGCAGTATTATTATCCTACAGCAAGTGTTTTAGCTCTACTGTTTATTTTAAATCAGTGCATTTTTAGGCATCAGCAGTTTCTGCATGAATTTGAATGTGTGGAACTACTTCAAAATATTGTGTGAAGGTTTTAGTTACTGATAAGATTTGCAGGATTGTATATAAACTGGCCAGGTTTGAATTCATAATTCTTCTAACACTGCTTAATATGACACTTCGATCTTATTTTGTTTTGTATCAGAAATAAACTATCTCACATTTCTAGTTTTATCCAACCTGAGATTCGCAATAGGAAGTGGTACTATAATCCTGTTAAAACTTCAATCAACTGTCTAATCAAACAATGCAATGACGAGTGCTCACAATCAGTTACTCTTTGATCTTGAATTTTAGTCAACAAAAATTCCAGTACCAAAATACGCATTATCATCACGAATAATACGACTTTCGACTGTTCAGTAAAATATGTTGAGACAGACAGTTACAAATAGCATAAGGTCTTGTGTTTTCAACCTCCTGGATCAACAAAATTTAGAATATACAGTTTAAGGAGAAAAGGTCAAAACGTTTGCTGCGAAGATCTAAATACATGTTTACCATAAATGCGTATCCGATATATATCGTTGTCGTAGGATTTCAAGTGTCTAGTGGAAACATATAAGCAATTCTAATATGATCTCGTGTGTTTCAGGATGACACAAACAGTCAATCATTGAGGTGAGTCACTTTGAAAAACCGGCTTCCATGACTTGGAAATGCGTTACACACAGCATCCCAGAGGCTCTTATACAGTCCACTGTTTGCTAGCTATGTGTGTGGTTGGAAGATACAAAGAGCTGGTTGGTGTATAGTATGATACTGTGTATTGAGGGATGACTGGTATACGTTGATGTATCATGGCTCCCTAGATGGCGTCCGATAGATCATACAACTCGGGGGCTTAAGAAGACAACAAACATTACTCAGAATGGAAACCAGGAGTAATCAGACTAAAGATTTCTTGTTTGTTTTGTCATCGAAAAGTAAATTGGGAGTAGTGAGTGCTTCTTTGGATGTATCTTCTGGATTACTTATTTAGCAACTCCCGTTTTTGTCTTCATTTTCTCTTCCGTTTTCTTTGTCTTCACAGTGTGGTTTGCTATTTAGAGTGAGGTATATCTTGATATCCATGGTGTACTAAGTGTGCGTTTTAATAATAATGGTACGCCGGGATTACACAAGTAAAATACGCCCTGTGCAGTGTGTAATAATAGTATCAAATATTCATCACGGACTGATGAGTGATAACATGTTTGCCACGAAACCCGATGGTTCTGGGACCGATTCCTAGCGAGATCGCAAGTGCGCATTACTGAAGAGTTCCATCCTAGGATGACTTAGCTGTTCAGTGCTATCACTTTTTCATCGGTGCGGCAACCAACGTCAGTCTATCATGAATGCTGTTTTAAGAATAATGAAGTTAAATTAATGCAAATTAAGCCGGTAAGATGAATATACGAGGTTATGAAATTCACTTATTGTGTGATGTATTATGGTACTACCCGGTTGTCAAAGCTGGAGTCAGTGAAGTGGGATACTTCAGAATTCTATGTGCTTACGGTATTTGGTTCAGTGTAAAAACTGGTTTTACAAATGATCTAATACTTGAAACTGCCATTTTTTCAAATCCGATTACCCTATAATGCCAAAATGCAGTGAATTATTTCTGCAGTTATGTTAAGCAGGCGTGTACTGATTTCAACTGTCTTCACTACTTACCGTGCTACTTCCTGACTGTATCTCTTTTGGTTAGAGTCTGTTTGATAGTGTCACCTTATTTATGATTATCATAGGTTCTTCAGCTAGGAAGGTGATTCGTATAAAAAATTCTTGGTATAAAATCAGCTTTTTTTTTCTTGTTCTTCCGTTTAGTTGCTGAAGTACTGAAAGAACCTTATGTTTTATGATTGTATTGACTGTGTTATTTTAGTGACCTATTGCTTTTAAAACAATTATCTTACCTCAGAATTTATCACCCCAAACCAGAGAGTCTGTGCTAAACTCAGTGGAGCGTTTTGTCACAACTTGGATTTATTTTTGGGCATTTGCCTCACCTACCACAGATGATGAAAATGTGGACCTGAAATTACAAGAAAAAATTCGATCATTACATTGGGTAACTCCTTATTTGCTTGATTCACCAATAAACCCCTATTCACCGGAGGAACTGACTCATTTGGATTTAGCTACATTCGGTAAGCATACGCTAACTGACTGTGTATTAATAAAAGTATGAAAATGTTAGCTTAACATGCCATAATTCATTGTCATTTATGAGAAGTTTGTTTGTGTTCGTACACTAATTTGTCTAATGCACCACTGTCAGTTATGCAATTATTTTAATACTCTGAGTAGTGTCAATTGACCACTGTGTTGGTTATCGATGAGCACAATGGATACTCATGGTAACGATCTTCTTTGTGTGTAGATTGATTACCTCCGTCAACTTTTGTGAGGAAATCGAAAAACTAATAGGCAGATGGTGCGTCAAAATATCTTCATCAGTCTACAGTCAACTCTACTAAATAATTAAAGCTTCAGTGATCTAAAATATCATGTTATTGAAAAGTTCTCTTATAATCCTTATTTTAGCACATGTCATGTGATTGGTATTGTGACTGATGTAGACAAACCATATGTGATCACGACATATCTGATAATCGCATATTTCTAGCTAAAGTTACCAAAAGCACATGGATAAGTAAGAATATAAATAGTTTGCTTACTGCATTTAATCGTTATGTTTGAACTTACTCTGTGTAAATCAGTATGGAATCATCATAGGGTATCTGTGTCGTATTGTTTTCAAATTTAGTCCTCTGGTTGATATTTTTCGTTAGTATTTCATTTTTATACTGGATGATGATTGAAGGTGAGATGAAAATTTGGATGGCGGCTGGATTCGAAACAGCGACCATTGGGTTTCTGGCCCGATGCTCTACCAACTGAGCCAGGAGGTCTGACTGCTAATCAGATTTTTATTTCACTTCAGTCACCATGGGTTTTGTCCGACTGCCATGTGAATTCATGACGTGTTACTACCACTTGATCGTATTCACATTGACTGCCTGGTCAGGACTTCTCATCCTAATCGTAATGTAACTGAATTAGAGAGGGGGGGGGGAGCATCATATTGATCATCATTTTGACTTCCTGAGATAGCCGTAGTTTGACAGACTAGTATTTATACTGGGTGATGATTGGAAGTGAAATGAAAATTTGGACCGTGGCCGAATTTCAATTAGAAACCACTGGGTTTTGAACATACCTATCAAGTTAGCTTACAGAATAACCCACATGTCATTTTATGAAATTGTCCATATCACATGGTTATGCTTTGTGTATATGACATTTATTCTTGATCAAATGACCTACTTGTTTATGGTAGACGAATTAATATACTTCTGTGCATCGTTATTCGTCGATACAAGCTATTTCATCACCTTTAATGTAAACCTTTATTCCTACACAATAGGACATTCACAATTAGATGTAACGCTCGAAAGAGATGTAGCACCAATCTTGTACGTTTTCACTGGTTCTTGTTGACAATCATTTGCGAAATCCTAGCCAGTTATGTATCCAATTTAATAATATCAACTCTGTCACTGACTGCTGACATTTAATTCGCCCCGTTTTTGATAAGTCATTTTGGATCTGTAGCTAACTGGTTCGATCACTTGACTTTCAACCGGTTGGTTGTTGATTCAAATGCCGCTTCACCTACTGAGGTGTGGACAGTCAAGTAGTACCGTTAGCCCTTACGCAAGAGCTGTAACTGATTGCCTACTGCACGAGCCTGCATGTGATTACTAGGTTTACTTGAATTCGATTTGATTGCCTCAGTTCAGCCGGTATACTATTGTGCACATACTGTTATTATTATTATTATTATTATTATTATTATTATTATTATTATTATCATCATCATCATTATCATTAATTACTACTCGTAATTGTTTGAGTAAATATTTACTCACCTATTGGAAATTTATTTATCTGGTCATTTTTTAAACCATACTTTAATTAGCTCTTATCAAAGTGAATACACTACTAGCATCTGAGGACAAATTGGGTCAAATAGTTCAATGCTGTCGTAGTGTGTTTGATGCTTTAAAAGTACACTACCGAAATTATGCCGTTAAAACGCAGCAATATTTGTGTAGCAATGGCTTCACGAATGATGGTAATAATGATGATAGTAGATTAACATTGAATTCTACACCGATTGAAAATGTGAATAGCTCAACTGCACAAAATCCTATCAATCCTTTGAATAATATTGCAGAAGAAGATAATGCAGCTAATGCTGACGATTTTCTGCCTACATTAATTTGGGTTGTTCTGAATGCAAATCCACCTTTAATATTTTCTAATTTACAATTTATCATGAGATTTGCCAATCAGAATAGACTTAACAGCGGCGAAGCTGGTTATTTCTTTACAAATCTGGTAAGCTCACTAAAAAAACTGTAGTTTATCAGTTAGTTCGTCTACTTTTAAAATATTCAGATTAGTTTGTGATGTAAGGCATCTTGTAGGTTTCTAAAATTAGTGCACTGGTTACATAAACTAGAGTTGATTAACAGGTTTCGGTGGAAGACATACACGAATTGGTCACCTGTAGGTAACTTAAGCAATTTCCTAGTTCTAAGTGCCTAGAACTGATCGAAGTCTATCGACCAAGTTTTGCAATGTGGACACTAAGAAAACTGATACAACATTGTGATGCACTGTATTATGGTGTTAGTTGTTGGGAGTCAATCGCAAGGAGGCTCTGGACCTTGTTTTCGTGTTTGTTGACACTCATCAGCAAGGCCTGTCGGCAAGCATTGCGAAACGTGTTTTTTTTAGTGGTTGAATCTGTGTTACTCAGAGGATTAACCAGTAAGTTATTTCGACAACAATTTATCCGCCGTAGGACTGGATCGTATGCAGGACTTGGTCATAATTGAATAGCCGATGTAACTGCTCAGTCCTTAGTGCTTAGTACTGATCGAAGTCCGTCGATTAAGTAATACTTATGTCACTAACAGATTTGAACTAACAGTCAGATATTTAAATCACACAACCTGACTACTGACCAAGTACTTGTTTTTCTTCACTTCATGCGGATAAAAAAACGGTCATGCATTCTAATTTCATCACTTTAATCACTCACCCAGGTTTCACACAGAAGATTCGTGTTGTGTATGGGCGTTGCTGATAAGGATGAATATAAGTAGTATATGTTGAGAGGGTGGCAGAAATCATAGGGAATTACCAGCAATGGGTAAGGAATCCGCCAAGAGAAACGCAAGAGGCAAGGCAGGCGTATGAAGAGCAAATCAAGAAAGAAGCAGAAGAAGAAATGAAGCATATTTTGCAAATGACGGTTTTAGTGCAAGGTGTACTATATTTAACGACTACTGTTCTACGCGTTGACCATATACATTCCTTCCTGCATACCTGCCTATTGCTTCTTTCAGATTGCTAAGCATCAAAATGCTGATAAATATAATTGTTTCATGCAACTTCTGTTTAACGCATGAGGTATGTATGGTAATTCAACAAACTCCAGTTATCCTTTAGTGTATGACGGGATTTTTTTCACTAAAGACAAACTATCATTCTCAGGAGTAATCTTTTAATAATGTTATTTTATAACCAAGACTAAATAACAGTTGCCAGTGACCTTCTGTAAACTGGTAAGTCGATACCCATATAGTGGGATGGCTAGGAATGTTACGTGACCGATTAGCTCAACACAAACTCTCTGGACTGGAGACGCACAAATCCACACAATTGATGGTGAGGATGATTTACATAAATTTAGTTAACGAAGAAAAATTTCTTGTGGGTTTACAAACTAAACGCTATGCTGGATTTAAATTATCGTATGTGTCTTCTTCATTTTAGCTAAGACTAAAGTGGTCTTTTAGTTGGATAATGTCTGTAGCACACCTCATTTCATCCTTTTTTTCTAGCGATAGATGATACGAGTATGAATCTATTAATTATCTGAGATATATTTCATCCACAGAAGTGATAAGGCCACATACTAAAGGTACGATCTTATGGTACCTAATTCTTAATTTCTCAATTCTCAGTTCTCGAAATACTTCTCAATGAAGAAAGACTTTGAAGGCCACCCTAGCAACGATCGAAATAACCAATTAGGTTTCGTTATTTCGGCTGGGAAATCAGCTTTTCATAAAATCGAGAAGCCTGATTAGTTATTTCATTTGTTGCTAGGGTGACCTTTAAAGTCACTCCACTCTCAGTGAATATAACATGAATTTACGACTGACTTTAAAGGCTACTCTGACAACTGCTAAATTCACCAGTCAGATGTCAGAATTTCGTCTGAAAAGGTATTTTTCCATAGAATTGAGGGACGTGATTGGTTATCTCAGCAGTTACTGGGATAGCCTCTAAAGACAGCGCTTTTTAATAGTGGTAATTTTTAGGATAAAATTTAACACACCCTTTTATTTACCTTGCTGGTGAACATTTTTGAGTGACTTTACAAGGCCACCCTAACAACAACTGAAATAAACAATCAGATTCCTTTATTTTGTGAAAATCTGCCTTTCCAGACGAAATTAAGGGACTTAATTAATTACTTTGATCGTTGCTAGGGTGGCTTTAAAGTCGCCCCATTTTTGATCAAGCTTTTAAGGTCATACGATTTCCTAAGGCTATATTATTGATCATTTTGCTCAAGTTTACTAGTTAACACATTCTTGATTACAACTAACAGATAGCTTAGGCTTTTGTGTACACGTGAATTTTCAAAGCTCGATTATGGTTTGTAACAATGTGGACCATTCACTTGTGCACGACTCTACTGCGCATTCTTTTTTTACCGATAGTATTTGATTATCGCAGATATTTTTTATTTAGTTGCTCTTACAACCTTATGAGAAAGTTTAAAATAGTCACCATAGCGAATTGGAGTGACTTTAAAGGCCACCCTAGCAACAACTGAAATAACCAATTCGACTACTCTGTTTTATGAAAACCTGCTTTTCCAGCCGAAATGAGGACACCTAATTGGTCATTTTAGTTGTTGCTAAGGTGGCCTTTAAAGACACCCGAGAGTTGAAACACTACGTTTTTACATAGTAAATAAGGTATTCACTTGTCATGATCTCTTAAACGTTGAATTTTGTGCAGTCATTCGTTTCTTACTGATGAGTAGTTCAATGTGTTATGAGCCGCTGTAGTACTACATTCTTGATGCAAAATCTGGTTTCACTAATAGACGAATACAGTATCCTCTTCAATTCCACACAATTGATACTGAGGAAATTATATTATTTTTTAATAAGAGGATTCATTTTAATTGAACAATATGAATGATTGTACAGCTGAGCCGTTTACATACATCTGTAACGCTACACTTGAGGCAGATAAGTTGAACAATGTGTTGTGAGCAGAAGAAAAACCAATAAAGAAATGACTTATCTAAAATAGAAGAGATATTGATGCACGGAAAGTAAGAAAGAGCGCACTAAAAATGATATCTTAAAAAGTTGAGTTCGTAAAATACAAACAGTTAGGGTTAATTTCCAGAGATCTGCTATCCTGTACACTCATGCTTAAGTATAAAATTGCCTGCTATGCAAGATCTAAAATAAGTATATTTTGACCCTGGTAGCTTTTGTATAGCATCAATGGTTTCTAGTGATAGGCGTTTAAAAAAAGTAAATCTATTGTCAAACTATGTATTTCTTAACTATTTATATTATATTTTATAGTCGTGCGCCGTGCATTTTTTGAGAAATCTTACACATGAATCACTAAGTTTATCAGAAGAAGACTTTAGCAGGTGTATGCGAAAAGGTTTAGCACTGGTGAAGCGTTCCGGTGAACCATTATCAGAAAGTGAAAAGTTACTTACAGACAATGAAATTCGTCTAGTGGATTTAGAAGATAGGTAAGTATTCAATCTGTGTAAAAGATTGTCTTATAAGTATTCATTATCATTTTAACTATCTGAGATAGCCGTGGTTTGACAGACTAGTATTTATACTGGCTGATAATTGAAGGTGAGATGAAAATTTGGATGGCGGCTGGATTCGAAACAGCGACCATTGGGTTTCTGGCCCATGCTCTACCAACTGAGCCAGGAGGTCTGACTGCTAATCAGATTTTTATTTCACTTCAGTCACCATGGGTTTTGCCCGACTACCATGTGAATTCATGACGTGTTACTACCACTTGATCGTATTCACATTGACTGCCTGGTCAGGACTTCTCATCCTAATCGTAATGTAACTGAATTAGAGAGGGGGGGGAGCATCATATTGATCATCATTTTGACTTTCTGAGATAGTCGTGCTATTCAATCATGCTGAAGAGTTATCTTTATAAATTACCATACTTATGTTTTCATTGAGGGTCTTCTTTAATACTACCCACAGTTAAAAGAATAGACTTGAATAGAAATGTTTTTTAACCTTTCTGTTATTCAACAGATAACAAAACATGTAAGATTCACCATTTATTTTGCTTAGTTTTTGAAAGTAAGTCTAAAATACTTTGTAAATATGCATTGGTCACAAGATTTCGTCATGTAATCTTGCTTACTGCTTGCTTGTATTGTCAGTGGAAAATTGAACCTTAAATAACTATCACATGGTATTTATATATGATTCTAGCATAGTCTTCTTCCCCATGTGTTCAAAAAATATAGACACCTGTACTTTTGTTTCAAGCCTAACCTCAGAATTGAAGGGTTGAATTATGGGTTTGTGCATTTTCAAGATATGGACTAGGTGCCTCGTCCTTCCACTTCGCAACACAGTAAACTGTAAAACGATTTAAATTCACCATGCATAATGGAGATTTCATAGTCGTAACGGAAGTATAAACGTTTTGTGCAACCATTCTACGGGTTTAACACAAAACAATGTAACATCACAAAAATGTATTTCTACTGTCTTGAGGTAGTAACAGTTATCAGAAACAGAAGCATTACTATTTAGGGTGAAGGTGAGAAAGAAATTACCGTTGGTTTCTGCAACCAAACTCGTATGACTTCTTTTACATTGTTATAACGCAGAACGAGATTGCCATGATCTGCATAAAAAGTCCTAAATCTTTGGAGCCTGTTACAATTAGTCGTTTTGTCCAGAAGTTTCGAGAGAACGCATATGAACCAACGTGTGTATATCAGATTGATCGAAGAGACAAAAAATCATTAAGATTAAAGTCTAAAAAAGCCTGACATAACCCAGGCCATTGTAAATATGTATAAACCGTTGTATTTTGTATGCAACTTACAATACGCCTTTTTCCATTTACCGAGAAACTTGGCGAAAATCAAGGGGTAGAATCCTAGGGTTATTGTTCGAGCATCCGCATATATATATATATATATATATATATATATATATATAATTCAGGCTATATCCAGTAGCCAGTACAAAGACATAATAAGTGGCGACAAGGTCATAAAAGACATAAAATGTATTCAACGTAAAAACCCAGTTACTAAACTAGTAAAGCATTTTTCATTTTATGACGTCACACTGTAGGTTGATAACTTTGCCACTAATCGACATGGAGGTTGCTGAGATATATGTATAAAGTATCTGAGTCACCGTGGATAACGTTAAGATATCTTGACACTTGTTCACCAACCCACGGTGTAGTTTTATGCTTTTGAGCGCCATCAACCAAAGCATATCTACAACCGTCGAAAAACTAATGTTCCCATGGTTCTTAGTGTGCCAATTTCTAACCTGAAACTACCATCTAATAAAAACAGTGTTGACGTTGGATATCTTATTACTGTACGTCCATTGTTTAGGTAAGTATTCATATTCTTTTGTTCGTCTAAACATCTTTGTTTTTACGAAATGACATACTCCAGTAATTCTGCAGTGTTTTCACTGTTTGGGTACTCACATTTCTAGGTTCAGTGACGAAACCTGGTCACTTCACGAAAGAGTCAATGTCATGAATACTTCTCAAGAATTCTGACAGTTACTATTTTTACTTATTCTCATTAGTCAAGTATGCAATCGCCACATAGTGCATTGTAAAATTAGGTAGACTATGCGTACTACTTTTGAGTAGTTTCATTAGGAATGAATAAATTGTCGCGACACATCTTGAGGGCTTCGAAATTTGTTAGAACACTTACTGTTTAGTAAGAATTAGTATGGAACCCATGTAAATAAGAAACTAAGGGGAAAGATTTCGCATCTCAGTTAAAGTTAGTACTTTTTTACCAATTTCTAGTCGGTGATGACATTTCAGTCAGCAATCAATTTTGAAAGAGGCCTTTTTGTTCCACTCCACTCACTTCGGAAAGTACACATGAATTTTCCGACAAAACTGAAGGTCGACTGAGCTTGAGGTAGTAAGGAAGAGTTGTAGCTCAGGATGAGGATGACAATTGCTTGGTGTTCTCTGAGCGTGAGGTTTGTTCTTGAGTGTTTTATCACCAGGCTAAAAATGAGAAATGCAGTAGGTATTTTCATACACGATGGCAAGTTTCTGTGCTGACTCTGTTCCAAATTAGGAACATAATTAAGCGTTAGTTTGCTTATTCTGCCGTTATATAATATAAACAACCTCTGGTAATTTATTGATTGCTACCCACATCCTTTTCGTGGTTCTTGTTTCTTGTTTCCTGATGAACTTCTTTGCCTATCTACTGTTGTATATCAATATTCAAGAAAAATTAACTCTTCTTGCATTCATGTAAATAATTTCTGAGTGTGATGAAGGCTGACGTAGTCTATTTGTTTCCTGTCAGTTCACTTAGCGCTTAGAATTACTTCAATATTCATCGTGTTCTGTTCGTTTATTCTCTCTTTATACTGTTGTTTAGTTACACGGCTTTTACTTTTTCGACTAGTCAGTATCAACATGGGATCTACCATTACTACGGAACGGTCTAAGTCGTCACACCTCATATCAGCACATCAAACAAGAATGCGCTGAAATGAAAAACAAAACAATAAAGAGGTCGAAACTACTAGGAAGGTAGTAAGAGAGAGAAAGGAGGAAAGACAAACTAGTGAATTCAGTATGATAACTAAGATGAGGATAATTTGTAGACACATCTGCATCAGTGACAAGGATTCTGAGCCACGTCACCTGGAATCTCCAACCACTGGTTTCGGTTGTCACGTCGATGCCAAACTAGAAAGTCTATATTTCCGTACACTGCCCAGACCAGCAGTTGGAGACTTCATAAAATGATGCCATGTTTTGGTCTGGCTGCTCCTAGCCTTCTTCCAGTCTAAACCTACTTCAGTTAACATTGGGTGACGAGGCAGACGGTGACTAGGGGTGCCCAACACACGTCCTAGCCATCTGGGTCGATGAAGTTCATAACCGCACCAAGTGACCTTCTTCTTCCTAAAACCTCCACTCTTGACTTCTGTGTTACTGACGTGGTGATACCATGACACACGATCTATCGTACGAAGGCAATGGTAGTCCAACTCCTGAAGTCTTTTCATATCCTCTATCTTCAATGGTCATATTTGACAGCCATCTGGTGGAACAGAGCTGACTGGGACACTGTACATTTGATCCTTCATGGGCAATTGGATATCATGACGACACCATAGGCGGCACAAGTTGACGAAAGCCAACTGAGTTTGCATTAGGTGGTTTGAAACGTATGCTAAACATCCCATGTGTCCAGTAGGCTCTGCTTCTTAATATAAGAGTAAAACCTGAGCACTGCGATAGAATGTAATTCCATTTTAGTTGGTTTATTAGAAGTATCATACAGTGGAGCAGTGTTACTGGATAAATAATAATAATGAATAGTAGCAAATAAATACTGTTCAACTGTGTGATATATCTAATAAATCAACTAGGATGGAATTACTCTGCATATTGTCGGCGTCTTCACGTAACAGGACTGCTATGTCATCTGCCTACTCTAAATCTACTATGATAAGACCAATTCATGTGAATTCAGACGACGAGAGGGAGACCTACATGAGTGCGTTTATACGAAAATTGAAAGGGAATGGAGGGATTCGATATCATTGACTCAGACCACTCGATGAACACAATTCATCATGAGCTCCAACACACCCATGGGAGTAATGTACTTACTCAGCACCCCTTTCAGGGAGAGAAGTTGCCATAAGACCTCTCGGTCGACGGAATCGAATTCTGCCTTCAGTTCGAGAAGTAAAGGTCATTTTGGGCGTCAGTAAATGTACCTGTGTCTCAAAACGTGGTGGAGTGTGAATAACTGGTCGATGTTAACACGGCCAGGTCTGGAGACTTTCTGGTTTTCTCGGTTTCTCTGTTCCTGTGGTCCACTTAGATATATAATAATTACAGAACCTAGCATGTTACGCGCTACTTTTGTCATCTTGATACGCGTGTAGCAATCACTAAAGGATTTCTCTCCTTTATTCAATACTGGGACAATCAACAATTGAGATGTGGCAGAGGAGATTATATCTTTCATATACTAGCTAACACTCCAGTGGACCTGACAACCAATCCACTGCCACCGTTCTTATCCCATGTTGCCCTGCTTCTCTTCTTCGTTTTGGGTTACTGATATACTTTTCAACCTTAGCAAGTTTTGGAGCCGTTGTGTCAATTTTTCATTCAAAATGTGACTGGTTGTCGGGCAACAGAATGGTAGTTGAAGGCCATTTGAATTGTTCCTCGAAACGTTCCACCAAGTGTTCCAGTCATCTCCCCTGCGAATGAATCACAGATCTATCCTCCTCTGCTATAGTCTCACTAACCCCTTTGTCTGAGTTTCCTTAATAAGTCTAAATAACTATCAACTGTTACCTATCGCTGTTGCCTTTTCTATCTCATTAGCCTTCGCTGTGCACCTCTGTTTATGGTCGTTGCGTAGAATTTTTGTTAGTCTACATCCAAGTTGCTTCCGCTCCTCATTGTGCTAGGATCTTGCAGGGCTGCGTTTGTGTGCGT